GCAGATGCAGTACAGAAAGTTTTGCAACAAAGAAAAAGAAATTATGAACTAGAATTAGCTTTTCCTCTTGCTCTGTTTCTCATTCTAGGCATGGCTCTTAATATATAGGTTATCCAAGGGGTAGAATTGGGAGGCTAATTTATGAGAGCAGCTCAATCATGCATTCGCAGGATGTAACTTTTATTTAATTCAGAAAATGCTTGTAGGAGGATTAGTTGGTCATCGCAGTAGGGATAAGATTTTACATTGTTTAGGATTGGATTTATCTGTTGTCTTCAATTTATGGGTTGTTTCTGTAATAGTTTCCTAGCATGTCATTTTCCAAGGAGGTTGCACTGCATTATGCAGGGTTTTCATCACATGAAGTTCTTTATTTGCAGGTCTAATATAATGGACGCTGCACAGAATCTATCAATGGCGAAGAAAAATGAGATCCAGTGTTTGATGGGTATGCTGGAAAAGGTGAGTATAGTATTGTCGTAAAATCTCACTACTTAAAACTATCAGTATGAATAAATGGTGAATGATGGGAATTTATAGAGATTGTACCAAACTCAGCTTTATGATTTAACCATGTTGGTGGATCTAAAATAGACATGCAATCCAAAAGGTCAGATCTCGAAAAGGTGTCTAACGTACCATGATTTGCTATCCAAGCCTTCTGGTTTTCAGTAATGGATAAGGATGTTCAATCATGCCAGTGGCCATTAGATTTTCACTCCATGATTTCTCCTGGGACATGATGGATGATACTTTTGGTCCTTTTGTTCTGTAGTAGTTGTCTTTCGTGTTTTATGCCAGGTGATGTCTGCCCATGTTAATAAACCTTTCCTTGTTACTTGGCTTGGTTTCTTAATAAAAGTTATCACCTATGGTATAAGATAGTTGGATGTTGAAAAGTCAAAAATGGATTGGTGGTGCACTATTCCTTGTTACTGATTTGTTGTCTTAAATTTTAAGTGTAATACTACTTGTGTGTATATTAGGCTGAAGAGCAGAATCGCCATATCCGAGATCGTATTGAACTACTCAAGCAAAAAAGGCCTGATGACTCGGGCACAGCAGTTGTTATGGAGAAGGTTTGACATTTCCTTCCGTAACCTTTTTATAAGAATGATGATAGGGAAAAGAGAGTAGTGTTCTGTGTTCACTTCATTGTCTAGTATCTTGACTGCATTTCTCCAACATGCAATTTTTGCAGTTCAAAAGTTCCATTTTACGTTATGGAACATGCAATAATGGGATTTAACACACCACCGGTGGAGGGATTTATTTTCCCTGGAATCAATGAGCAAAGCTGCATGGCAAGAGAGGAAAAGGCAAAAGTTCGTGAAGGTTTTAGGTAAAGTTTGTTTTGGGCTTGGTAATAGATGTTTAAACCCTTAGGATTCTTATTGTTGGTCCCAATGCTTTCTGTTTCAAGTGAAATGCAAATTCAGAGTCCAGAGAAATCTCTTACTTCCCATTTTCAGTAAAGCACGAACAGGTTGTTCTTTTGTATTTGGCTGAAGGGGTAATACATGGAATGGTGTTTGTTAAATTTGTAGGTTTTCAGTAAAGCACCTGTTCAAGCAAATTGTTGATGTTATGCGTTGCTTAATAATGCGTTCCAAAATTATGCACCTAGGAGCGGCCACATTGTAATTTGCCTAGGAGAGTACCTGGTTCACGCGGCTCTGATTTCTCTGCAAATAACGGTTTTCATCTTATATATGCATATATATGTAGAGAAAAAAAGAGCCTTTTCTGCTTCATGAAACTCATTTTTGCTATTTTGATATGCGAAGACTATTTTCACCTAATGCATATAAATGTGGAGGAAAAAACCATATTTGATCTGCCCACACCATTTTCATGAAACTAAACTCGTGCATGGAAAGGGGTAGTGCTATTTTTAACCTACCATTAGATATTTGTGACCATGAGTTGTATTGAGAGGCCATGCTTTCTTTAACATTATATGTTTAGTGGGAGCTTTCCGCCCCTCTTTCGATCAACCAGTGGAACATTTCTTAAGTGGGCAGTTTGATTTCGAAATCTCCAATTTAAGGGATGCTAACTGACCTAGTAGGCTTCTGATTGGACGTTGTTGCCTTCACACAAAGCAACCTCCTCTTATACAATCTTTAATTTGTAGGCGTTTTTGGAAGAATTTTTATTCAGAGTCATTATCTTATCATTTATTACACTGAGAACAATATTATTGCGTTGATAATTTTATCTACTTTTGTTTTGGCACTCAATTCCAGAAGACATATGTGTGTGATATGACTAGAAAAAGAAAACAGTAGTAATAAGGAGATCCAGTCCACCGTTATTGTTAGCTGTTTTCTTCTTTGATTCCAGATTTTGATCAGGCGGCACCATATACTCAATCAGTGTGGCTAAATATGAAAAAAAAATCAATTTTGGTTCTGGTGAAAAAACAAAAAATATCTAGGTGAAAGAAGATATATATACATAGTGGGATATTTTCAAGTTATTTTTTATATTAATCAAAACTAAGATTATTATTTCTTAAAATAAGCAAACGCTAGAATATATTTAGATTTGATTGATTACTGAATTATTTTTTAAATCAAATCAGTTGAAATCAGATACTGCTAAGACGAGAGATGAGAGAGAGGAGATGGTCAGGTCTAATAGTGGGTAGTCCTTTTCCATGTCCACTATAAGTGTGCACTAAAGATTATGATGGTGAAAGCAAAATTATATTATTCGTTCATGAACCATAAGGAGATAGGTACTAGGTAGGAGGGTTTGTATAAAGAGATAATTTGAGTTACTGAACAGCAAGTAATAGTCTAATCTGCTAGTGCTAGCTGGTTTTGAATGACTAATTAAAATTTCTTTCTTTTCCATTCTTTCCTTTGTTGATTTAAATTTTAGCCTACTAAAAAGCTTGCCCCGTGCCCAATCTTATAGATCACGAGTGATGTAATTAAGGATCCTTAATTTTCAAAATCAAAATAATACTGATTTTCTTGGTTGCTATTGCTATGATGACCGAGTAATGCTGAACGTCAAAGAAAAACAACAAGAAGGCATATAAACTGTTGGATCATGATTTCAGTCGCCTCCATCAGTTCAACGTCTCGTGTATGCTGATGGAGTTAGTCTTGTTAATTTTTATTAATGTTCAGCATTACTCTTATCACGACATGACACCTGAACACAGTATTATTAGGGACAATTTGTTTCGGGTGGTGCTTGTTCAAAATCCTTGAAAGATTAATTTATTAATTAAGAAGAATAAGCATCATTAGGTCTCCGGATGCGTTAACATCAAAGAGTGTTGGAAGGACACATGTGCTTAAATTGAATTTAAAGATCCTAAATGAAGTCAGCATTTTAATTTAGGCGAGGGTCGTTGTAAGTCGTAGGATATTACCAATGCTATGAGATGAATGAAAAAAAAAAGAAGAGTCAAATCGAGAAATTTGCTGAGTTTTTTTAGCATTCGAGTGATTGATTGTAATGAAATGGACCGTTCAAGTCACGATCCAATAATTGAGCCTGATTTACCGGTCTATTTTGGCTGTTAAGTTTGACGATTCTAGTTACTCTATCTCTGACTCTTACCTCTCATTGACTACGGACATGCGTTACAGATGAAGAAAGAATGAAGTAGTACAGGGGTAGAGAGAGAGAGAGAGAGAGGAGAACAGGGAGGACAGTAGATCACATAAAAGGCATTTGCATGAATGCAGCACTTGGCGCCTTTTTTTTTTTTTTTTATGGTTTCACCTACTATTAATTAGTACTTAATGGAATAGTTTAGGAAAAAAAATAACTTGGCAAAAAGGAAGGTTTTGGGTTGGGTTTGCTAGGACATCTAGGCGGAAAATATATATATATATATATTCACGCAACTACAGGTGTCAAACAAAAGGAGAGGAGGGCTCATTTTGTAATTGTAACAATGATTGATAGCTACGTGGGACGGATCATATAAATTGATTAGACAAAAATCTTCACGGATGGATGGGACTTGGGAGATATACATGCATGTAATTGTGCCAATGCGAGCATAAAAATAAAAATAATTAGGATAAATTGTTCTCATATAATAAAAACCAATTCTTTAATTTTTCTTAATATTTTTAATTTTTAATCTTTTTTTTTGATAAAATTTTCAAATCAAATCATCAAAATTAATCACATGGTTAGTACGTAATTATTTTTTAATTTTTAGAATATTGCTGTAGGTAAAAAAATAAAAAGTTTCTATGTAAAAATTAGTATGAAAATCTTGTAAAAAATGACAGATTAAAAGCTGAAGGTATATATTAAAAGATAAAATTAACTCAATTAAAAAATTATTTTATTATTTAAAGACAGATTAAATCATTAATTCTAAAGTTAATATATATAATCGGATGATAAAAATATATTTGGATAAGATTGAACGTAAAATAATTAATGCATAACAATACGAGTATTCAGTAGTACTGTTGATATTGTTTTGAGAGATATTTACCTTGATGAATAGAGGAGCAGGAGCAGCAGTACCACGGACTACGTACATAGTGCAGTGGTAAACAGAAAATAGTTTGTTTATATTAATAGACACTCCATAGTAATTGATTTGCAGTATATAATTATATATCTTAGAGAACTGGGAAAAGTAATTACTACTTAGACGTACTAAATCTAATACTACTGTGGTTTCTGTTGAAGGTTTAGAATCACATCGCAATTGCAAATTAATGCAAAGGAAAATAAAGAGAATGGAGCACTGAATCTAATAACATGTAGAGTCAAATTTGGAATTTTCATTGATTTCTGCCTTGCGGCAATTTAATTATACCTTTACTTTAAATACAAAAATTAATACTCCCAATTTGGGGTACGTAGTAAAACCTTCTTACAGATATCATGCACTTTCTTGTTTCTTGTCTTCTCAAATTTCAAAAAAAAAAAAAAAAAAAAAAACGAACATGATATTTATATATATAGATTGCAATGAATTTTTCCTTATTTGTTTTCTTTTTTGGTTATCAGGACTCTTCTGCACACTTAGGTTCCCTTTGTTGTGTACCAATCTTAAAATAATTTCTTCCTTTGAGGCGTGTCCTTTGACTTGGGGTGTGTGTATCTCTTGATGTCAAACAGTGGTCTTCGACCAACCCTTTCTCTCCCATTTCATCAATCTTCTGATGAAAGCAGAGATCATCAATATCAATCTATATATATCTTTGAAGGCATAGGTTTCGAGCTATAGAGAAGGTAATTGAAGCTGATGCTGTAGCTAGCTAGCTAGTAGTCCTCGCTGCTGAAGGAAAGAAGCTGTGTATATCAATCTATAATGATGCTAACACCCATCCTCCACCAGCCATCTATCTATCTATGACTTGTGGGATAAAATGATGGGCAAACCGTTCTGGGGAAGAGCGAAAGGGCCATACTGAATCCCATTATTTGCACCCACAAAAGACCATCTGCGAAAAAGTTTTAACCAAATTCCCTTGTCAGCAAATAGTTCCATACTTTCTATATTTAGGAACTGAGATCTTTTGTTTTATAAACTCGAAAGGGTAAGTGGGTAAATTAACTACTAGTAGCCGGGGTTTACCAACCTGTACTTGGTGGTTAGGTGATGGAGGAGCACCAGAATCTCCAGCTTGGCTAACTCATTCCCAGGACATGAGTGGGTCCCACTTCCAAATGGCATAAATGTATTGGGCTTTGGTGCAACCTGCTCGAATCATTAACAGCGAATGATTAGCTTACTTTATTTTCTTCAGATTGGTGAATTCATGCGGATAAGAAGTTCTGTTCTTTTCTGTTCCACGTGTTGAGCATATCATGAGTTTTTACCTCGAATCTCGAAGGATCAAACTTCTCAGGATCTGGAAACAGTTCTGGGCTGTGGTGAATGTTTCTGAAAAGTGGTAAAACTTTCCATCCCTTGGGTATCAAATATCCTGTAGAAGGTTTTTTTTTTTTTAAAAAAAAAACATTTACTTATTAGGTCTAGCATGACAAGCAAAAAGAAAAGGACATAACCACTTGGTTTGATAAAATTTTTGGCATAGCTGCAGTGCTGACCTTCATATTGAACATCCTCCACAGCCTCTCTGAAGGTGAAAGATAAAATTGAGGCAACTCGTAAAGTTTCTTGAATAACCCTTGAAGTTATTGGCATCTTCTTGGTATCTGCCCAAGTAAGCAGCTTCTCCTCATCACACTTTTCTGTACTTGTCATTATGGCCTCTTGCTCTTCCTGTAAAGCCAAAGGCAAGCACACAAAACCAAGTCATTGGAAGAATCATATTATATATATAAAAAAAAAATAGTGCTAGTAATTGATCACTACTACTTACAGTGACAGCTTGAAGAACATTTGGATTTTCTCCAAGGTACTTGAGAATCCATGTCAAAACACTAGCTGTGGTGTCACGAGCAGCAAAGATTACTCCAATAATGTTATCAGCAATTTGATCGTCGGCGAGGCCTTCTTTGTCGCCCATGAAAGATCCAAGCAAGTCATTGTGATCAAGCTTCATTTGCCTCCTTGTCGACAGGATTTTAGCCAGGATCTTAGCCAGCTCTTTTCTTGCTTTCATTGATTTGTTGAAGAGTGTTCCAGGAAGGTTAATGGGCATTGAATTGTACCCCTTCTCAAGAATGTAGTAGCACCTCGTAAGATCTTCTCTGTAAAGAACTCCATCCTTCCCAAATATGGAAAGTAATGCGACATTGAACGTGTACTGTAAGGAAAAATAGAGACACGAACTTGATCAGTAATCAACCAGAAAGGTAGAAGGCATGCTACTCAGTTTCAATTTCTAAAGTTTTAGCAATCCGGCATGCAGAGAAAAACAGGGCAAACTAAAACAGAGTAGCTCTGTTTGAACCAGGGAAGTGGGAATAAGTATAAACCTACTGATTTCATTTCTTGGAAAGTGTTAATTAATCTTCCTTCCCAAGACTGAAGACAGTCCTTGGCAATGTTTTGAATATCAGGGACGATGTTTTTGGTTGCTTCAGGCATGAAGGCACGAAGAACAAGCCTTCTCAATTTCATGTGGTAGGCTCCCTGGTGAAAAAAGATGGCTTCTTTGCCTAACATCCTTTCTTTACTAGCTGGAAATGTTGGCTTGAAGAGATGAGATTTGGTTACAAGGACGAATTTTGCAGCTTCAGGGCTGGATATCATGACACAAGGACAACCCAAGATGTGGGTCTTGAAGATAGAGCCATACCTCTTTCTTTTTGAGGCAAAGAAGACATTGGGGTCCTGAGAGTAGAGTTGGAATGTTTCACCGACATAAGGCCACCCCATGGTGCCCGGAGGGAGAGGCAAATTCTGGCGGTGATCAGAAGCAAAGAATTTGAGGAGTGAATTAAAGAGAAATACTAGTGCTAGAAAGAAAATGGAAGCAAGTGATAGAAGAAACACAGAGGGGAAAAATTCCATTTCTGTTGCCTGTGTTTTTCCTTGTTTTGAGGTTTAAGTAGTGAAAAAACTTGTGTGAGAAAACAAAGCGAAGAAGAAGAGTTATTTATAGGGTGAGCAGCTCACCCCCGAAGTCCAAATTGGAGTTGTAGCAGTAGTGAGAAAACAATAAAATAAAATTTAAAGAAGAGAGAGAGAGAGAGAGAGAGAGAAGGGGGCTTTCAAATACAGCTTGAATCCCACACACGGAATCTCCCTCCAGCTCATTCCTGGTTTTGGTCACATATTTTTACACATTTCGTACTTGCTTCCTTTTGTTGGCCTAGAGAGAGAGATTGAGATTTTGACCAAAAAGAGGATTTTGAGACCGAAAATTAAGACTGGCATTATGTGCTCGTGAAAGGATGGATGCCTTTTATTTGAGTTTTCTATTCGTATCTGTAAGGAAACAAAAGAAACAGTGGCAGAGTAATGTTCGAGTGAGCTATTAGATTAGTACTCCTAGAAAAAAAGAAAAAGAAAATTGCCCCATAAGTTTAGACAAAAGGGGTGAGTTTAGGTTTTGCCTTTTATCAATCCTCGTGTCCGTACGCCATCTTCCGACTTTTCTCATCCCAGACATGCATTCGACATTTGTACATAGATACAGCTGCAAACTATGCCATCAATCATTCATCAATACCTACTTCATAATGCTCCCACCATTTATCCCAAACTATATATATATATATGAACAATTGGTTTAACTCGTTTAATGTATCCATTTCTGCTTAGAATTAGTTTATATTTTTTCAATTTTTTTTTCATATATCTTTGCATATTAATATTTTCATTTTTATATACCCTTTCGCTATCTTTTTTTTTTTTTTAATAAAAATGCTCTTGAAACCACCAAATAAATTAAGTTTCACAAACTTTACAAAACTTGAAAAATCCAAAACATAGAATTTTTTTTTTAAAAAAAAAAACTAGAGAAAACAAAAAACCTAGAAATGTAAAAATTCAAAACATCTCGAGAAAATTGAAACAAGCCATGTTACTTTTTTATATAATATGGGTAACTAATGAAAATCTAAAAAATTATGTCTTGTAAATTTATTTTATTGCCATAGATATATTTCTATTTTCGAGCTTTTATGACACGGTTTTTAAAATTTTAATTTTACAAGTTGTTGTTTTTTTTTAGTTTTTTCTTCCTTTTTTCTAGGTTTTTTTAATGTTTTTATTTTTTGTTGGGTTTTTCAATTATATTTTAAGAAATTTCACAAATAATTTTTCTTTTGTTAAAAAAAAACATATATATATTGAATTTGATTTTGTCTGATCAAGATAAAAGAAACAGATTAATTTCTTTTTCCTTGGAGAAATTATTTTCCATTTTCAAAGGTTTAAGTAATATTTTTGGGAGAAGGTTTCAAATATTAATATAATAGTTTTAGTTTCTCAGCAACTTCACATCCAATTAATTAAATGCATTGACCAAAAATATAATTAATACTACTATAAACATATGTATTTATAAACAGATTGAAGTGGAATTAAATCGTACGTAATAATAGATCTCGTAGTCAAAACTTTTGGTCATTCTCCAATCCTTCTCAGGACATCTGGCTATTCTGCTTGTGGTTTGGAGATCAGAAATGGGACCTTGTATTAATTCAGTGTTTCAATGAGATCCGCACCTGCCTTGGCATGGGTACTCATACTTACATTGTTCCAAAATTCCAATTATGAAATTTTATTTTTATTGTACAATATATATATATATATATGTGTGTGTACGCGTGCGCATGCATGTTATATTTCATTCTAATTAAATTACGTTAAGCTAATTAAAAACTTTAGGGTGGGATCAATTGAAAAACAATTTTCACGAAAATAACAAATTTACATTTAACTTCCTCATCTAATGGATAACATTTTTTTATTTGGATTGGTTTCTTCTTACATTAATTAAGTAGCACTTAATTTGCAATTGACATCTAACTTAATTATGCATCGAATATTAATTATCCAAAATTAACAATAAGATAATCAATAATCACCAAGTCAACTTCTGAAGTCTGACATTCTAAAAAAATAATTTTATTGATATTTAATTTTTAGATCAGAAGCTCAGCACCAAGTATAACCTTTCAATATACGTACAGGAATTATTTATTTATTTAATTTTCTTGCAATATAATATGCGAAATATTAATTATATACGACTTCTGCGTGCATGCGAGCACACACATATGTTATGATTTAATTAGGTGGCAATTGATCTTGATGGTGATGGACATTTAGATATCAAAATGAATCTTACATTATATTAATTATTATTTTTATATAATGGAGAAATTATTTTCTTTGCTCGCTCTTTCGAGCATTGGTGGAGTTAGAGACTGTTTTGACGAGAGACATACTTTTACCAACTGTGATTGTGTGTGTGAGAGAGAGATTTTGGTTAATTAATTAATTACGTTTGGTGAAAGATTAATTTTGAGTGATCCCATGCAGCCTTCTTCGGTTCAGATTTGTGATAAAAGCTTTCTTAGTTTTTTTTTTAATTAGTACTACAAAGATACAATTAATTATTTTATTGGTTTCTTTTTGGCGTTATATATATATATATAAGCACCATTTTTTAGTGCCAAAAGAGGCAGAAACGGCAGTTGAGAAAATAATAAATAATTTGTTGATTTTTCTCTCTGTGTGTGTGTGTTGATATAGATGGCCAAATTCTCAACTTCCGGAAATTAATACCATGCATTGACATTGCTTGACATAAGTTTAGTATGGTATCACTATATACACACGAAGCAGAAGAACAAGCTAGAGGCCTCGAGTTTAAATTTTAATTTTTTTTAATTATTATTTTAGAAAGAAAATGACCATTAGGATAATCTATTAATTTTGTTGTGATTTCATGCAACGTACGTGCATCATCCATGTTAACTTTAATTTTTTAGTTGTATCTTATGGAAGGAAGGACTAATTTAAGTTCACGGACAATATATATTAACAAAAAAAACCAAACAAAAATGTTGGTTTATTATTCATTGTATTTTTCTAATGATTATTCATCTAGACTTATTTTATTATTCACACATGCTCATATGTATTTTTTTTTCACTATATAATGATATTTTTGTATTTTTTTTTTGATTTTTTTAATTAAAAATTTTAACATAAAGAAATTTAAAATAATAATTTATAAAATAAGTTTTAATTAAAAATCAATTGATTTTGATTATTTTTTTTACATTATTATAATTTTTTAAAATAAGAAGGTGGATAGAGATAAATAAAAAATGTTATACCAATTTCAACCAAAATGATGAAATTACGGATTAAGGGCTTGACTTGTAATCTGATTTTGCGTTTATGGGGAATGCATCTGAATGAAACAGATAAATGGAGTCGATGAGGTGACGAAACGATACCAAAGACAATGAACTGTCAGAGTGAAAAAAGAAGAAGGAGCTAGAGACGACTCCCAGTCCCAGCCAGCCTCCTCCTTGAAAAATGAGAAGGAGAGAAGGAATTGAAGAGGACAGAGTGACAGACAGTCTGACAAACAGGCAGGTGCAATTGACGATCCGCTTTATGGATTAATGGAGAGATGAAAGGGCCGTATAAAAATTGGTCACCATTCACGGACCCATCCGATCCAGCCCCACGTTAATGTCAATAGTGCCATTTTTTCTTTTTTAGTGCAAGGATGATGTCAATAGTGCCATTATTTATTTATTTTAAGGATAATTTTTAGAAACATATATGTGATATTTATCTGCTATATTTAAAATAATTTAATAAATTTTATTAAAGATTGAATAATAGCTAGGGATGCGTAGGTAACATGAAGATGCTACGTGTGTATTAATTGTGCTTGCTTCCTTGTATTTTAAGTCAACAGTTGTTACGAAGTTGACTAGACTTATCTACAGAGGGTTTGAAATAATGCACGAGAAAAACATACCAAGCTACTACGTGTACATTTGTTTGTGGCATCTTCAATTAAGTTGACTACATTCACTCTAATTATCCAATTCAACTCTTCTTTCTTTCTTAGCCAGCAGTAATTAGATTCCACTCCTTCAAATTCCATCGTTTTAAATTCTTAATTTGTCAAAAGCTGAACACACACGTATATATATATATATATATATATATATATCAATTTAATTGGATCTTGAGTTAAAATATTAGCCGAAAGAGTTAGTTTATTGCTTCGTTTTGAGATGTTTTAAAACTATTTCTTATTGTGAAAAAATCAAATCATTAATTAATTACTTTTTTTTTCTGTATATCTTTAGTATATATTTTAATTCTTTCGATCCAATTTATATTTTTACTTATATTCAAATTAAAAATAACTGTCCAAGTAATTTGAAAACAGTTATGCGATATGCTATTAATTGTAATTTTTTTAATTAACGTGTAAAGTCAATGTGAGCAAGTCACAAAAATCCAGTCCTATCTATCAATGGGTTCATCGATAATAATCAAAGCTAAGATTAACTAAAAGAATACTCATGCTTGCATATTGGTGACATGAGAGGCTAAGAACCAAATTAAAACCTTACTGGGTTGCTAGGAAACATTGATGGAAATATATAGGCCAATTGAATCAAACAGCTAACTTTAGTTAGAGGACTAGTCCAACTATATATATATATATATATGTATTGACAATTTTAATTGACCAATTAGCTATATTACGTTTCTTTCTTTCTTTTTCTTCCTTGTAGCCTCCGATGATCATGAAATGCAAATGGACCACCAATCGATGTAGTACGTACGTAACCAATTTGTCAAATTTTGGTATTGTAAGAATTTAATTTTAATTCTGCTATATATACACAAAAGCAAGACACTTGTGCGTACCAAAATCCACCACCAAACCCCATCTTACAAGCTGGTATGCCCCATGCATCACCATTGTGACCACTAACTAGCTAACATAATAAATAAATAAATAAATAAAAATCCGAGTTTTACTTATTCATCATTGAAAAAAAATATTAGGTACGTAAGGAATTGTATTCTTTCTTTTCCCATAGATATAAAATTTGTCGTGAAAATTATTCCTAATCTCATCTTTATTTGATAAAAAAAAAAAAAAACTACTATATACTGAATAATTCTTATAACCATTAATTATGATCATACACGGTTGGGTTTTATATATCCGGTCAGTCAGTTTATCTGTAATCCCTTATCATCATGATCTTCATAAATCGGAGACCAAAAGTACACACGCTAACCGTAGTATATAGTTTTTGCTCGTCTTTGTCCTACACAGGGGACTCTGCCTTGGTTTGTTCTTGGACACGGGTTTAATGATTGCTATGACCTATCTCAATTTCTTGGGTCCTTAACTAGCCCCCTTACGTACAACCGGTGGGCGTTCTTTGTCGCCACACGCTGTAGATTTGTACTCTCTTTTCTTGTTTGCTTTTTGATTTGTGTTAATTATAACCAAATCCTACTGGTTTATAAAAACTAATTAACTAATTGTTTTTGTACGAGAAATAATTACTTAATCTATTAATCGCTTCATGACCATCTTTAATTTAGTAATTATTTTTCAAAAATTCCTTTTTCTTAGACGAAAAATTTCCCATATTAATTATATTTTTTTTATTAAATCGTATTATATTTTTTCTTTTAATATTGCCTAGATCACTGGCATTATGATACTTTCTATATTATTTATGTCATGGACTGTGTGATATTTTTTGCATTATACAGAATTCTATATATAAATATAATAAGATTCTATTTCTTAAAAGTTATGCAGTTATGAGAAAAGAATCATACTGTAATTTTAGCACCACCAAGCAACTAGCAAATTGGTATAATCACCAAGTTTTGTCTCGGCGATAGCAAGCTCTCTCTTGAGGATTTTAAGTATCTTTAGATTGTTAGTGCTTTACATTACTTGACTCTTACTCGTTTTAATATCAGTTCTATTGTTAACAAAGCCTCTTATTTTTTATCATTGGATGGCTAATAAATCCTTCAGTATTTCTAGCACACTTTTTATCACAATTATCATCTGAATCCATATTTTTTATTTTTATTTTTTATTATTTACTGATGCTGATTAAGCCGATAATATTGACGATCGTAAAACTACGAGTAACTATATTATTTTTCTTGAGCATAATATTGTCTCTTGAAAATATGTAAGCAGCTAATTGTTGCTCGCTCTTCCACTAAGCTTAGCAAGGACTTCATTTTTGTTAAGTTTATTATTTTTTTGGATCGGATTATTGATGTTCTTACGAAACCTCGCCCACTTGTCGATTTTTTGTGTTTCTTTCAAGTTTTATGAGGTTTTTCCCCCTTTTCAACTTAAGAAGGCATGTTAAGTCATTCAAGTTAGTTTTCTTATATATGTTGTTAACTCTCTATAATGTTGTTTATATAACAAGCACCGTTATATTTTTTATATTATGTATTGTGATATCTCCTATATTATATATACAAAAACATTACATATAAATACAATATCATTGTTTAGAGTTATACTTACAGTCATAAATATATTTTTTGTAACTTTTTATATTATTTCTCTCTAACTCTTTTCTATGTTCTATTTTTGAAAAAAATCAAAACAAAATAAATTGAAAAAGAAACATAACTCGATAGCATGATGACTAAGATATAAATGCATTTTAACTATAGTGACTACATATAATTAAATCTTTCACTTTTTTTTTCTTTCGAGTATTTGACAAGATATATATATTAACGGTTTGTCTTAAATGGTAACTAAGAAAAAGACTCATTCAATTTCAAAGTCTCAAATTTGTGTCTCTTCATTGATTTTTAAAGAGATTGAAATTTACATCTGACTAGTCCCATTGGCAGAAATACCTTAAGCTTTGGCCCATAGATATGGTGGAGATCAGGGGCAGAATTAAAAAAATTATAAGTACGCGTGCCACTATAAAAGCTATATATAGGGACAAACCTGAAGATGATGCAAATTTAAAAGAGATTGGAGAGCAAATATGATTTATTTATTTTTTAATTTAAGAGCTAGATTTGAAAAAAAAAAACTATAGGGTGTGATGGCCCTCAAAAGCATGCTGTAGTATCGCTCCTTATGGGTATCCTTCTAGATGTGCACAACGTACATAGCCTGCTTAGTATGTTATTGGTCGATCTATGCTTTTTTTTTTTTTTAATTATTTAAAAAAATAATTTGCTTCGACTATTTAATTTCCTACCTAATTTTTTAGTATAATGTTAGATGTTAATTATTTACTTCAACCAGTTGAAAACACAAATCATAAGCCTTAGTTTAAGATGTATATTGAATACTTTTTTGACAAGATGTCTACAAAAAAACAAAACAAAAAAAAAAAAAAATTAAGAAAAACTCTCTCATTCTATATCAATCCACATCAAAGTTTTTTAAGTTGTTCAAAAGTTTATGATAGTATAAGAGTTGAATTATGTATTATTTGCATCTTTATTATTTTTTAATTAAGCTAGTTTTCTTAATAAATTTAAGAAACGAAGCGATGCAATTTAGTATTTTTTTTCAAAAAGTCAAGAATGATTAAGTATTTAAATTAATAAAAAAATTTAAACATTGGAATTACCAAGTAAAAAAAATGTTATAATGATTATTATTGTTCATGTTTAGAAAAACAATGGAAACAATACAATAAACATAAACATAATGATTAAGACAATGAACCAGCAAGATTGTAATAATATTATCAAAATACTAAACAAAAGATTATTTACAAATAATCGAATCAACAATATTGGATGACCGGCCACCACAACAGAGACAGGGATACGTATAAATGCAAATTTATAGAAATTTTTTGGGGTGAATATAATTGACCTTTAAAACTTAAATTAAAGATTACTATGCGTGGTCAATTAAGTAATTAAGATCCTATATATCACTTAATTGTCATAGAAAAGTAAAGTGATCTTTAGGAAATTCCATCTTAATTTATGTCGTACTCCTATAAATTAGAATCTTAAAATAACTTTGGTGTATGGCATTAATTATTTTTTGAATATTATAAAAAAAAATTCTCAAAGTATTTTCATTTTTACTAATGACAATCAAAAATCAATGTTAAAATTTATATGATTTTATTTCTATTTTATATATTATTTTTATTTTATTAAATAAAGAATATATAGAGAGAGAGAAAGCAAATCGTCCCGCTTTGAAAGTTGGAGCAGGTCGAACTATGAGATCATATTCATGCATTGACCTTTTTTTTAAAAAAAGTCCAGGGTACGTACGTGTCATCCAAATAATATACGACTAAACAAAATAAATTATCAAACAACGTTTGATTTAATTAAACTATGAATTCTATGTACAATTGATTAGCGTTCTCAAGTCCAAACCCCTAACCTCCTAAGTAACTAGGTTTCTTCTAATTCTATATGCTCATGTAATATATTTTAATAGTCGTTGATTGCAAGAGATTTATATTTATTTAAGCCGTTGACATTATTTAGAATAAATAATTACAGTCTCAATTTACAGATAATTACAGTTATATTTTTTACAAATACAATTCAAATTACTAGTAAAGATTACTCTAGCCCATCTTATATATCATTCAATACTGGTCCAATGTAGACTATTTGTTTATGATCCAATCTGTAAGAACTTAGTCTCGAAAACTTAAAAAAACTTCTCTATAATAACTCTTTCTCCCTCACAAATATATATATATCAATGGGACTATGGGAGCGAGTTAAAAAAAATTATTACAAAAGAAGATTAGAGTAAACTTTCATTTTTGCAATGATAATTAATTGATTCAATTTATAGTAGTAATACGATTTCTTTCTTTATCTCACTAACTATTGACGTTAACATCTAATGCCTAACAATTGATATGAACCCTAAAATTCTATCTAAAAAACAGGAAGTTCCAGATGCCAGGCGGATCTGCTGTTGTGAGATACAGCGTTTCTTGTTTTTTTTTTTTTAATGAAAAAAATGATATATGTAGATGACGTTTGTGGCATAGAGAAGACAATAACATTTACTTGACAATGACAATGGCATTGTCTAACGAAGTATCATTCAACTAGATCAGATACTTTTAAGATTTAAACTTTGCTTTTAAGATCCATATATGATTGTATATAAATATATGTTGTTATAGTTGGTTATAGCTTACGTTTTGTTAAATATCGGAGTATGCGCGAAAGTGAGTTCATCTTTCTTACTGGCACCATACTTGAGCATTAGTTATACTTATCCCAACTTACGTCCACAATATATATATATAGAGAGAGAGAGAGGATACCTAAGATGCATGCATACAGCATCTCGATCGATCGATCCACATGTCAGTTATTATTAACAAATTAAAGTTGGACCACAAACATATCTGATTGTTTTTTCACTTTTTAAGAGCACTTGGTTCCAGCTATCATTTTGTCTTTCTCAAGGTATTAAAGTGGATTTGAAGAAAGAGATCTTCCACTACTGAGTGTGTGTGTGTGTGTGACATTTGAAGCGGACTCGAGCAGCCTGATCTTGTCCAAAAATTATTGGATTTTACTCAATATTTATATTGATGGGTGCAAAATCGTACCATACAGACAATAGGAGATTGTAATCCCAACATGCAAAGCCAAAAAGATGTCACTTCTTTTAGTAGAAACTGACATCATCATCTTAAATTTTTATTCTCGAACAATTAAATTCTGTTATTGTATTTTGTTTGCCGTATTAATTACTACTAGCCAAACAAAACAAACAAACAAACTGTATTTAATAACATGCATGAACAAATTAATTGTGAGTTTCAATTACCCTTTTAAGGAAGGAAATGGAAAACTTTAATGCCAGCGGTTGCGCTCTGCATTAAATGTGGAGGTTTTTCCAACTTTAAAATCTTCGTTTATATATTGCACACATCTATTTACCCAATTTATGCATAAGCGGAAATAATGGTCTTTTTTTAAAAAAAAGACAAATGATAATAGCCGGTAAAAAAATATATATATTATTCTTAATGAAAATGAGTTTTAAATGCAACAGAAGATTTTAAATTAAATTACCGAACCATTAAGCTGTTGATAAAACATAATTGTTTAATTTTGTATTCCGAGAATAATAAACAATATGTTAAAGTGTATATAGTATGAATGGCATGTATATAATTAGCTAGTAAATGAAAGATAGTCAGTTGTTAATTAAGTTGCATAGTTAGGATGGTTGTTAATGGTTAGTTGAGTAGTTATGGAATTTGTTAAGAGGTAAAATGGGAAGCTTGTATATAAACTACATCTGTCTAACCTTCCATTCAATTAAAAAAGACTCAAGAAGTTTTCTACTCCAATTCGTCTCTTTCTTCTTATTTAGCCTCTGAATTTGTTTTCTCACATGTTATCAAAGCCTAAAGCGATTGATTACGGTTTTATTTGTCTAACCTAATTCTGCTCATAGCAAATGCGAATGCACTTTCATTAATGGCTTCTAACCCTCTACAATTGACGAGCTCCGATGTCCCTGGAATGGTACTCGTCAATCAGCCTCTGGTAGGAGCTTCAAATTACCTTTCATGGCGTAGGTCTATGGAGATTGCTTTTGCTTGTAAAAACAAGCTTGGATTTGTTAATGGTGATTGTCCAAAATCGAGAGAAGGTAATCCAAGTGTTCCACAGTGGGAGCAAGTCAATAATATGGTGATTTCATGGTTGCTTATTGCTGTATCTAAAGAAATTGATAGATCAATACTTCATGGTAGCACTGTAGCAGTTATGTGGTCAAACCTCAAGAAACGGTTTTCAAACAGTGTTGGTGCTATGATCTATGATGTTAGTCTAAGCTAGTCTAAATGGATAGGTTTAAGACTTAAGATCAATTTGGTTTCAATGACGAAGTTTTTTCTTCTTTTTTTATCGTTATTTTTAAAATTTTATTGGTGCCACTAATTTTATCTTCTTACAAATTTAGCTTTTAATTTGATATTGGATCTTAGGTATAATTTTATTAGTTTTAAGTGGCATGACCAAAGAAAAAAAAAGTGGCATGACTAGTTAATATTAGCTCAAGACCCATGCCCTTATTATTTTGGATTTTTCTGTTAGTAAGTTTTAAACTTGTAATTTTTATTTTCTTGATTTGGTACGTGAACTCGAGCATACAGTCTAAATTTTTTTGTTTTTATGTCATTTTACATCATCTATTTGGAGCATGGATGTTTAATTTGCAAATGGATTTTAAGTTCTACCTTCCATTAATTCTTTCAATTGCCCAATGACAATTTAGGTGAGAAATTGAATCTTTTTTCAGCTTTTAAATTACCTTATTCAGGAATGATTAGAAAAAAAAAAAAAAAAACTCACAAATCATGATAGATAAGTGGATACAAAGATTGGATTTTAAGGTCATGCTATGGGCCGTGATATTCTCTAGTTGTGTAACCAATTTCCTTGTTCAGAATTTTTACGACTAATTTATTAGATTTTTCTTAGTTTTCATATTTAATAAAAAAAATTCTTGCCAAATATTTTATTAACTTACCGCTGGAATTTTCTTTTGAACGGTTTATTCACATTAGAAAATATTTTATTTTAAGAAGCAAAAAATAAAAAACTGAACTAGCTTAGTCTCAAAAACCCAAAACATTTTACATAAAAAAAAAATTAGGATTTCTTTTAGAAATTCCATAACCTCTTAGAAACACCATATATGTAATTTTGGAGGTTTTATTCAGAACCGACCATAATAGTATAAATAATCAATTTCAAAACAAAAAATCAAAATTAGAAAAAATCAGGTTTCTTTTGAGAGTTTTAAAACACAATATTTTTTTAAGCTTTTTGTTCGGAATCCTAAATATATAAATTTAATCCAAATATTTTATTTATTATTGCCATTTATAAAAATTTGAAATATTAGGGTTAGGGTTTCACGTATCTTCACTGAGTTTTGATTTCTTTGCAAATCAACATCAAACAATTCTTCAATCAGCTAATTGTTATTGATTTCTTGCTTTATTTGTTGAAGAACTTCAAATTGAGATTCAGATGTCTCCCTCTTGATGATCAAAGATAAAGACAAATGAGAGAGCAAAGGAAAAGACAGAGATTAAAGAGACGAGAGAGAGTTATGTGAGAATAGCGAAGAAAATGTTTAGCTGGAATTTAAGAGTTCATTTATTATATGAAAAAGTATAACGGTTTTTTTTATTTTTTATTTTTACTATTTTTTCATCGTAAAATATTTAAAATGTAAAGTGTAAATTTATAAAATTGAAAGGTAAAAAGTGTTACCTATTTAAAACATAGGTTTTCGACATAATTTATAAAAGAGAGAGAGAGAGACCGTGGAAAAGCACAATGGACATGGGCTTAACTTTTTGCCTTCCTGGCAGTTAGACGGCTGATCAACCCCGTGCCTTTTAATTATATATATTGTGGTTATATATTCATGTTGCAGTTTATAAATAATATTTTTATACAACGCTTGTCGAGAATACAGTTGCTAGCTGTTTACGTTTCTGAATGGAATTCATGCACCTATACAATCATATATATAGTTGTTATTTATTTATTTATTTTATTGAAATAGCTGTTAATTATTTGACCAGGATGGAAGTACATGGAACTGGAACTGTTATGGATATGAAACATTTGACACAAAGTAAGAAGTATGAACAAGGATACTTGAAAATCTAGCACATATTATATCAAGCATACGTTAATTAAAAATATGCTGCATATCTTCTACACCGTTGCACTCATCTTTTAAGTTATTATATTCGTAAAAGCCATTTTTATAAACATTTTAGGGAGTGCTTATTTTTCATGTGGGATAACTTTCATTTATTAAATTTACTTTTTTATATTTATAGGTAGTAGAGTATTTTTTTGAATTAATTTTTACATCAATCAAGAATAAATTTATTATTTTTTATGATAAATCAATATCAAAATATGTCTAACTTTAATGACATCAGATTTAAATTGATTCGACTATTCATTATAAACTATTCCAACATATATTAATAGTTTGAATGTTAAAGTCATATTATTTATTTATTTTTTAATGATATTCAAAAATTGCTTTTAAAATAGACAAATTTGTGAATTAAATTTTCAAATCAAACCAAATAATAATAAAAATAAAAATAATAGTAATAATAAAAAAAACTATTCTTTAGTGAATAACTACATTCATTTGGAAGCATTTTTAATAAAAATTATTTTTATGCCCGTCTATGGAAAATTTTATTCCGCCATGCAAGTTCGCTATTGATACATGATATGTAACTTTAATGACACCAGATTTAAATTGATTAGGACTGAAAAAACAGTCTAGTGACTAATTAATAAACTATTCATTATAAACTATTCCAACATATATTAATAATTTGAATGTTAAAGTCACATTTTTTATTTATTTTTTAATGATATTCACAGATTGCTTTTAAAATAGACAAATTTCTGAATGAATTTTCAAATCAAACCAAATAATAATTATAATTTTATGCATGTCTATAGAAAGTTTTAGTCCGCCATGCAAGGCGCTGTTGATACATGACATGTAACGAAGTCCGGCACCTTTGGGAGGTTTCTTTTGTCTTTGCCGTACAAGATTTACAAGACACGTGTGTTGGTGTGGGTTTAAGAAGAATTTTTTGTGTAGAATTTTATGGATCGATCAAGTCTTAAAGTTGAGAAATAAGTAAACTTACGGATTATGAGATTTCTTATTTCTTCTTTTTATTTTTTATTTTTGATATTTTGAATGCATGAATTTCAAATTTTTTCTAATTAAATACTTGTGTTAGTTTCACATGTTTATGTGCTAATACGATTTTAAATTGATAGGTGTGTAAAGGCCATTTCCTCATCTCCATTGGGCACTTCAAAATTAGCACCGTCATGGCCTTACCTCCTACCCCTTTTTGAAAAGCCCAACGCAAATCATCAACACCAAAACCCCACTCCACAAATCCCTTTTCTTCGATCCCCCTTTTCCCATCTAAATTTATTATTCCAATCAATTTTTTCCCAACATGATGAATTTTATTAATCAAAATGCAAAAAAAAAAAAAAAAAAACATTAATTATAAAGACTTTAAAATTAAAACCTATAGTTCATGTTATTGTAAATATTTTTTTTTGTTTTTTACTTTTTTTATTTCGATTGGAAGTGTGTCGGTTAAAATTAAAATTTATCCGTAATCGAAGACATTAATCGAAAAGGGACTGAAGAATACAATAGAT